GAGACTCCGGAAAGAAAACTGGCTGTGCATGCAGAAGTGAAACTGACTGAGCACAAAGTATCTGTTTCATTTTCACTTTCTTTCCACCTCAGTCTCTTGGAGCATTGATCTGCAAGCCAAAGAACATCAGACAGCAGCTGGTCTGATGTTCCCACAGTAATGTACATGTAACCCACTCTCACTCATTCTGACTAGTGCTCTGTCCCTGCTAGAGGTGGCTGGACCACAAAATAGAGACTGATTTGCTTGCTTCAGCTGTAACTAACGGAGTTGTCCCTAGACTGGAACATCTTATGCCTTAACATCCAAAGGCCTCTGGGTCAATCCCTGCTGTTGACAACATACTTGCATTCCACAAAGAATGAATCATAATTAACAACATCCACTTCCACAACTGTTTTCTTAGTTATCCAGGTACCCTTCCTAAAACAGAGTCCTACTATTTGTTAGACCAGGGCACTGGAACTCAGGAACCTGGCATTCTATTCTCACCTTTGCTGAAATCCTTAACTGTAGTGCCTCGATTTCCCCAAATGAAACATGAGGGTAATAATAACGATGCACCCACTATTTTGAAAAATACTTTGAACATCTATGTATATAATACGTTGATTATGAATTGTAATCATTACTATTATTAAGTTATAATAATAATAATTATTAGTATCTTCCTGATTATGTGCTTGGTATGGCTGGAGGGTGAATAAAAAGGGTAAAGCAGAAAGAGAGTGAATGATAAAAACATGAATTTTGTTATGTTATTTGTATAGCACGAATAGCATGCATAGCACTGTATAGACAGGAATAGAGAGCAGGTCCTTCTCCTTGAAAGCTGACAATCTAAGCAGTCAATGTACAGATAGAGAGAAAAGGCCATAACAAAAGCCATGTACGTGGGTGGGGAGGTCTAGCATGTGCCATCAGGATACCATGACTTAAGAGGGATGGGGGCTGGTAGAGATTTTCTTCAAGGTCAGAATCTGTGCCTTTTACGCAGTGTCACCAAACCCAGGCATGCAAAAATCATGAGTCAGGTGCCCACAAATTCATGAGCTGGCACTAAGAAAAGCAGGAATTTCAGCAAAGACACCAGAAATGAAATTATGTTGGTCCTGGACACAGAGACACAGGACTTGGCTGTAAATTGGTGCTTGAAGTGGTAGGCAAAACAACTAAAAAAAGGGGGGGGTCATCACCCCCTTATCTGCCCTTCCTCTCTCCAGCAATTAGTTCTGCTCCCCCATCCCCAAACCAGTTCTATCCCCCTTAGTTTCACAAACACACCATCAATTTTGCCTTCACTGTTCTGTCCCCAGCCTCACTGTTCCCTCCTGATGGGAAGGAGAGCGCCGCTTGTCTTCTGTAGCTGCTCTGATTGGCTGCTCTTCCCCAGGAGGCAAATAAGTGAGGAAAGCCGCCAGTCAAGAAGGGTTTCTCCCCACTGATGTGGCAGGACTGAAACATGCACTGATCTCTGAACTTTTACCGTTTGGCTCCATGCCCCAGGGCACTTTACTGACTGGCTGTAATGGATAGAAAGGGGATTCCTGCCTGAGGCTGTTTGACACAGATTGGCTTCACTCTGCTCTTCCAGACCCCAGACTAACAGCCCGTAATGTCTAGTGTCATCAAACAGACTTAGCCTGGGGTAGGCAACGGTAGGAGGAATTGAAGAGATAGAAAGATAGAGTGTATGAGGATATCTAGATGGGGTGTATGGGGATAGATAGATAGATAGATAGATAGATAGATAGATAGAGTGAATGTGTGGGGATAGATGAGAGAGAGAGTGAAAGATGTAGGGTGTGTAGGGGATGGGGGAAGGGAGGAAGCAGCCTAAGGTTTGCTTACTTCCCAAGGGGCACAATGCAAAAGCACGAGGAGCAGGAAGAAGATCCCTGAAGCTGTGTTTGAAGGGGGACTTGCAGGAGGCGGGGGTCACGCAGGACTGGGGCCCCCAAAGAGCAGCAGGACGAAGCAGCCTGGGGGTGGGTAACTGAGCAAAGAGCATGAGGCTGCCCAGGCTGCAGCAGAAGCAGCCGGGGAGTGTGGCACAGGTGGGGCGGTGGCCCCCGTGTGCGAGGCCTCCTGGCAGTGCCTCGTGCGGATCCCGGGGCCCTGGCGGGGCGGCTCGGCCTTTCGGGCAGCAGGGCTCTGGTGCCCCATTGGGTGTGTGGGGGCTGTTGAGGCTGCCCAGCGCTGGGGCAAATCAGTGAGGGTGTAAAGAGGGGCCTGCCACTAGGGAGACCTCCCCCAGCCTTCAGTGCTCTGGTCAAAGGAAAAGGAAAGAGACGCTGTCCCTTTAAGAGGCCACAGGCAGAGAAAGGGACACTGGCCCTTTAAGAGGCCACAGGCAGGGAAAGGGACACTGGCCCTTTAAGAGTGCACAGGCAGGGGAAGAGACACTGGGCCTTTAAGAGGCCCCAGGCAGGGG